AAAGCTTCTTCAGAACAAATGGCTTATCGAAAGAGCAAAGGAATTAGAAAAGTCTCCTGCACAAATTTGTTTAAGGTATTTCAATAAGAAAACTAGATAAATCTGAATAAATATTATTAATTAATTGTGACAAATTATATAATTTGTCAACAATCAGATTTGTGATACTCCACTATCGATTTCGCAACATGTTTGTTCTAAAAAAAATTTGATCAATTTAACATAAATTTTTCATAAACTATTATATTGAAACATATGTTGATAATCTAACGTAAAATAAATCAGTATTTCTAAATTATATTTTAGACATCATTATTTAAACCTAAATTTTCAGATGGAGTTTGCAATGCGGTAATATTGTCATTCCCAAATCATCAAATAAAGAACATGTTGCTACCAATTTTAAAGTTTTTGATTTTGAACTATGCCCAGAGGATATGGAAAAGATTGACAATTTAAATAGAAATGAACGAATATTTACGATGGAATAGTAAGTTTATCTCAATATATAATATTGCATATCAATTATTTAAATATCATGGCATTGCATATTAATTATTTAAATATCTTTTAGCGCTTCGGGGCATAAATATCATCCATTTGAAAATTCTTTATTCTAAAAGTACTTTATTGATACCATTCTTAAATCGAAGAATTAATTTTGATATTTAATAAAACGCATACAGTTCGTTGTACTACAAATTTTACTCATTTTGGATGATGTCATGTCCAAATTTAAATCAAAACGAATATAAAACTTCCATGTGAAAGGCTTTGGTAAGTGTACATTTTGTACATTTGAAGCGACCAGGAGGCTGTTTTATCACTCGCTTTAAATTGATTTGGAATAGTATTGGTTCCGGCATGAATAATGGATGTATTTACAAGAACAGTAATTAATAAACGAGGACATTAAACAAGAGATTTTTGCTTTATGTTTACAATATTTTATTTGATTTGTTAGAAATAATATCCCAGATAAAGTTTGCTATACATACAATTAGGCAATATCTGCTTTTTTAAGGCATTATAATGGCTAGTGTTCACTCTTTGTCTTAGGTAGCCCCATAGAAAGAAAGCTACATAGGTCAAATAAGCTATGAGATACCATACATCATCATTGCACAAGGTTTTATCTTTAACGTGTGGACAAAATGAGCAGATGCCACTATAACATTTGTACTATTTCTTCATAGATGTTTGGTTTCCATAGACCAAATACAGACAACATCGACGTATGATCTGGCACGCATTCACACAATTTTGAAAATAATGGAAACTGTATTAATTTGTCCACGTATACGCCCCAATATATTTTCCTAACCCCATCCATACAGAAACAAGGGTTGCTGAAAGTTCTATTCAATATTGTTGCTGGGCTGATGCTATATAAGAAAGGAGCTATGGTAAAGATAGCACTCGAAGCTGAAGCTTCACTTACTTGGCCTGACCCTGAATCGGAGGCCTAATCGATCCATGGCAAAAATGGGAACGCATTTATATTAACATTATTTTTGTAATTCTCTTTTGTCGTTTTTTAAATACTTTTGCGTGAATTTTTTAAAGAAAGGTCAATTTTTAATTTTTTTTTCGGCAAAGTGAAAAAACATTTGTCAACGGCTTCGCAAAAATTTTTTCACAGATTTTGCGATATTAAAAACTTTTTTTAAAGATATCAGTTGGGAATCATGCTGTATAGTAATCGTCCCAAAAGCGAAGATGAAAATTTTTGCATATCTTTATGTTTCAAAAGGTTCTAAATATTTTGGCATACTTTACAAAAAATTGATGTACGTATGTGTTGTGTGTGTGCGTGTGTGGGCATGTGTGTATGTGCGTATGTATGAATACAATTTTTTGTCTACATTTTCCGGCGCACGAATCAACCGGTTTGAATGATTCAAAACATATTTGATTCTCAATCATGGGGTTATGTGCTGTACAGTTTTTGGCAAAGACGTGTCCAGTCGTTTTGGATCAACGGAGCAAATTCGATCTTAAAATGAGCATTCGATTTTTGTGATAATAAGAAATCCGATTAGATTTATTCAAAATACATACGATTTGTGTTGACGATGAGGCTTGCTGGTTAGTTTTTGGCAAAGAAGATGCACCCGCTTGGGAAATACAAAAAGTGCTAAAAAATTAGTTTTGGAGAAAACGGAGCATCTGATTTGAATGTATGTATGAATGAATTTGAATGAATTTGAATGATTCAAAAAAACATTTTGCTTGTGTTGGGAGAGCGAAGAAAGGATTAGTTTTCGGGGAAGGCATTTTTTCAAAATTTAAAAAAAAGATTCTGATTAGAATCGTCCAACGCTGGGCGAAATTCTAAACTTCGATGAATTTTTATAATTCAACCAGATTACGTCATCTATCGATATACAAAGTTTTATCAGAATCGTCAAAAAAATTTTGTTTAATATTTAATTACGAAGACACGACTAAGCTGATTTTTACCAAAAACTAATCAACGCGATACCCAACTAATATCTTTCGAACAATTTAAATTTTTAAAATCAATTTAAGATTGTGGCCTAAAACGCGGACATAAAACTTTACACTTTTCTGCCAATTACAAAGAAATGGCTCGGCCGATCGTCGCGCAAATGATAGTCCTTATAGATACATCAAATGGCATTTAAAATTTTGAAGTCAGTCCAACCGTTCTTATGAAAACGTCGACGAAAGATCAAAAATCGACTTACATATATACTGATATATTTTTCAAAGATCAATTGAAAGTAGTTTTTAATAATAGAAATCTTTATTTTCTAAATAAACAGTTGAATATTTTATCTAAATAAGAAATTCTAATTCTTGTTGATATAGTCGATTATTTACACGTATCGGAAAGTTCATGCAACTGGCCTCAAGGCGAAATATATGAATTTCTTATATAAATAGCAATAAAAAAAACTAGTGCTACATGTATCGCGCCTAAAGACAAATTTCTGGAAGTGCTAATTATAAATTAGTAGTTTAAAATGGTTAAAAGCAAAGAAATGAGAAATGTGTTTGTTTAGATTGTTTTTTGATATTTCGCAAATATTGATACTATTTTATTTGAAAATTGAAATTAAAATTTATTTTTTGAAAATTTTGAAATTTTTTAAAAGCTTTTGATACCCATTTATGTCAGTTGATACATACTGTCAAAATATTTGATTTTCGACCGCCAAATAGCATTTTTTAAAGCTTTTTTTTACTGGATCTCAATCAATTTATCAATACGTCAATACACTTCTCTCACAAAACCTAATTGCCATTTTCTAAACTTTTTGCTCGTATCTCCTAAACGACTAGGCCAGCTTATGCAAAAAACTAATCAGCACGTCTCTTTATCAAATCGGTTTAGCAGTACAGTACTACCAGCGTTGTCATGCTTTTTGAATAATACAAATCGGTTTAGCTATTTTTGACCGCCAAATGGCACTTTTTTTACTTTTTTCACTAGATCTCTGAAACCGCTTTTTTTATGTCGAGAATAATTCGGATTTTAATTATATGGCTAAAGTTTTAAAAATCACTTATGTATATACTTAAAATGATTAATTAATTAATTATTGTTGAAATTTTAACTATGCAATTCAATTTTTATTAGACAATTTTACAGCATTTATAATAATTTATTTGAAAATATTTACTAATCCTCGAATATTTGGTTACATTACGAAAGTTCCAGCAATTTGCCTTAAGGCACGATGCCATACATCGCCAATATATGGTTTTGTTAGCAATGGAATCATTAACTTCCCGTAGGGAATGCCGTAGGGTAAGTTATAGTAATGCAAAAAAAATTGTAAATGAAAATTTTTATATATCTTTATGTTTAAGAGGTTTCTGAACATTTCGGCATACATTAGGAAAAATGGATGTATGTGGTGTGTGCGGATACAAATTTTCGTCGACGATTTCGAGAACACGGATGAAGCGATTTGAATAATTCAAAAAACATTCGATTCGTATTGATAAGGAGACGTGCTGATTAGTTTTTGGCATAGGCAGGTCTAGCCCTTTGGTGGTCAAAAATGATCATTACACATTATGCACATCAAATTATTAGATATTTTATAGAGATTTTAACAATAAGTATAAATTTTGTTTAATGTTTCCGTTAGACGGCGACGCGGCGCTTACGCGCTTCGATATTTCGATAAAAAGTTAAGAATTTCCAAAATATTTCAAAATAAAGAAAACATTTTTTTCTAAAAAAGTAAATTTTTGTCAAAAATTTATAGTTTCTCAAAAATCTAGTTTATTTAAAGTAATTTTTTTTCAAAAATGTTTTTCTTTTTAAACAAAAATAGTTCCAGGTAGGTTCCACCAATTTGCCTTAAGGCACGATGCAATGCGCCCCACTAGTGAGTATGCTTTATTTGAACCATATATATTTCTATCTAAAAACTGATAAGGACGCCTAGTGTGCAATTATACTTAAATATAGTGTTTTTATTGGGAAAGCAATAGTAGTTGCTAGTTACACAATGTTAATATTAGTGAGTAAAGCATGGCATGAAAGAAAATTAGAACAAATTGTACCACATACCAGTATAACACACAACCACATACCAGTCAAACACAATTCTTTACGATTCAAAACTTATTATTAGTAATGTTATAATAAAGAAATCAAATATTCACAATTTGAAACCTATCACTATAAAATGTAATAATAAATAAATCATATTTACAATTAAAAATCTATTACTAAAATGTAATAATAAATTAAAAATATATCGACAGTTCAAAACGTATTACCATAATGTAACAATGAATATCATATTTACAATTTAAAACCTATTACCTTAAAGTAACAATAAATAAATCATATTGATAATTTAAAATCTATTACCATAATGTAACAATAAATATCATATTTACAATTTAAAACCTATTACCATAATGTAACAATAAATATCATATTTACAATTTAAAACCTACTACCATAACTGAAAAGAAATATGTATGATTATAATTTAAAACTATCTCCACAATATAGCTGTTAATAAATGTTATTCACATTAGAAATTGGTGAAACACATTTCTTGATGTACCATATATCCTTTCTTGTAATCAAGGAAGCCCTGTGGGGTAGCATATTATCATGTGCAGCACTACGTATACTGCTTATAATAACATCATCTGCAACTCCTGCTAGAATTTTATCTGTAAAAATTATAATATTATTTTTATGATATTAATAAATCAATAATTCATACATTTAAATGTATACATAAGTATGTGTTCCTAAATTAATACACAGTAATGTAATGTATAAATGTACCTTTAATTATCTTTTGCAAATGTTGGTCCAGTGGAATATATTTTGCAAGATTCTCGTGTCCCACATGCGTCTTCCAGTGAATGGCTTTAATTACACCATCACTATAATGCGTAGTACGGATTCGAGAGGGACACGCCTTTCCGATTTTTTTGGATGCCCTTGAAATTTTCCCTTTTTTCTTTTTATTGCAACTATATGAGCGGTGGCAATCGTAAAATATAATTTTGTTCCCATCTTTAATTTTGTATCCAGACTTATCTATTACATATCGAGTAATATCTCTCTGCTCAATTTTATTTTTCCATGATTGAAAATCTATATAAAAATACCAAATAATAGAAAAGTGCATTGACAAAGTCTATGATCGGAAATAAACAAACCATTAAAAGAAGAAAATGTCATTTCTTCATGCTCGATATGGATGGTGTGATCAACCTCGATATGTTGTTGTAAGCCATTGTATCTGCAAAACACCCTTTGACAATTCTCAAGGGGGCACAAGATCCTAGACTTCCTTGGGGTATCTATTAAAACATAATATTATTACTGTTTGCTGCATCATTGTTTAATAACATGTTTGGCACACATACCTGAAATATAGTTTATCTGCTGTTGAACACTGGTGCAAGAAGTGGATTGTGTGGCAATGGAGTCTGTGGCAATGGAGTTGATGATGTTGGTAGAAGTTGATGGTGTCAGTGAAATGGAGGCAGCATAGGAATGAAGGGCGACAGATGTTCTAGGGTTGATGCGGAAATTATTGAAGTAGGTGTTGTATGTTTGAATATGTGAAGAAGAATTTGATGAGTGAGTGTCAGTGGCTAGAACAGAATTGGGAGCAGATGGTTGAAGAGGAATGGTAGGATGAAAGTGTATTATATGTTTTTTCAAAGCATATGTTGAATGCAGAGCCTTACTGCAATAATTGCATTCAAAAGTTCGATCGAATGCATGGGTTCTTTCCCATGTTTGGCCCTAATATGCCGATACAAAGAACTGTTTGTTTTACATACTGTAGAACAGTACAAACAGGTTTTACTAGTTGTAATATCCATAAGAAATGAAATAATGAAACGTATTATTATGTGAACAATTGAGTAATGAAACGTAAGTGCTATACCTTAAAATAGTGAATAAGCAAAGCTATATACCCTAAACAATGAATGAAATTAAAAGAATAACCTAACCTAAGTGCTAATCTGTAAAAAGTGAATAAAACTAAGCTTATAACTAAAGTGATATACCCTAAAATGATAAAGTTAAGTGAATAATCTAAGTGTTCCCTAAAGTGATTAAAGTAAAGTAAATAATGTAAGTGATTAAAGTAAAGTGAAGAATCTATGATAATAGTAAAGTTAAGAATGTAAGCGATTTAAGTAAAGTTAAAAATGTAAGCAATTAAACTAAAGTTAAGAATCTAAGTGATTAAACTAAAGTTAAGAATCTAAATGAGTAAAGTAAATTAAACAATAAAAGTGATAAAGGCTCAAATGGAATGAAACTAAAAGCAAATGAGATTAAAAAAAACTCGCGTCTCTTGCTGTAAAGAAATTAACCTT